GTATGGATCACTTGGGTTGTTACCGACATCTGGTGAAAATGTCATGTCATTAGAACCTCTCATAATATATTTACTGAGAAAAATGGTGACGTGTTCAATACTTATTTTACCCGCTGTATTTCAGAGTCACAAAAGTTTACTTTTCCACCTGCTCAGTTCTCTTTGGCTCCACCCCACTCCTCACCAGTTTATGGTCTTGCCACTGTCGGCTCCTACTCACTTTCGGCCCGGTTTATGTAACTTCCTCTGAGATAATACTGCGGTGTTGGCACCATTTGGGGCRTGGGGTGCTGAAGCTTGTAGCAGTCTCTGATTAGCCATTGGAGCTACGTAAACTGCCTAGCTTGATGTATTTAATAACAGATGCACAAGCATCAGAGTGAACTGAAAAGAAGGGAATTAACAGAAATGTTCCAAATGATGGTGGAATGCTGGCACAAGCTAAAAAAAAAACCTTGACTCACATTTTGTAGCAGTGAAGGACCATAACAGTATGTGGCTCAAACCAGTTGGACTGGAGCTGGTTTAAGGTAATGGAGGCGATCTACAGCCACTGTTCTGGCTGATGCGACTGGGATTTTTTTCTTCTCCAGATTTTAATTCRGTCAGATTTTTGCTCAGTAATGGATGTGATATCAAATAGCAGTTGTCCAACATTTTCTCCATTGACCAAGTGGYTCTGATTTGATGAGGTATCTTGGGTCCATTTTGTTTCAGACTGATGCTGACAAAACCCAGAAATGCAAAACTTTGAGTCAACCATTTATTGCAGTTTATGCAGATTTTTGTGAAATGCCTGTTACACAGGTTGTTATAGTGGTGATGATAAATTTGCTACATATTGTGCATCCCTAGTTCCCAAAATTTGAACTGTTGCCATATGTCAGGTGCTTTAGATGTTTCAAAACCATATGCACTGACTTCACTCTGACTTCCTTCTGACAAATAACATAAAAATAATGTGCAATATATTTATCAATACCCCCTACTGCTGCTGTTACTATTTACTGAGCAAGATATATCTCAACAAAGTACAGTATTCATGTTCATATCAATATAGTTCTAGTTGAACAATATTCACCTCTATGTGATTATCTTCTTTCTTGTATTCTATATTTTGAAATATTATATAAATTTGTTTATTTTAGAGTTTTATTTTTGTCTTGTACAAAAAGAGAGTAGCTCCTCAATCCTGTTCTGTGATATAATGACAAGAAAGGTAATTAAATTTAATTCAGTTTATTTATATAATGCTACAGCTATTAGTGACATACTTCCGTTAAAATTCAGGCCACAAGCATCACGTCCGGATCCGGCCTACTGCGCGTTGTTTTTAGCGTTAGCTTCTAGAACTAGACCATGAAAAAGTCATAAAAATTAAAGCATCTGTGAGCTACTGGTATTAAACGTGAGTTCTGTTGTGTGCCATTGTGCCCACTAACCAGTAGGTACAACAGAGTAGTTAGTTTTTCTCCATTTTCCTCTTGATGAGGATTTAAGACAACAACAATGGATCGTGGATACCTGCAGGGAAAACTTAGCTATAAAAGCTCACACTCGTGTTTGTAGTCGGCATTTCAAACCTGAGGATATTCAAGAGCCAGCATCCGAAATGAGAAGAATGAGAATCTGCAGTTGTGGATGTAGTGCTGGAGGTAAATGTTTTTATCTGGGAGGAAATCTGCCAGCTACGGGAACAGTTTAAGAGTCTGACGCTTAGGCAGCTGTTTGTCATTCACCATTTAGCTGCTTCCGACAAGAACATTAGATTCTTCACAAAGTAGGTGTGTGTGTGTGTGTGTGTGTGTGTGTGTGTGTGTGTGTGTGTGTGTGTGTG